TTCTGCTGTGGCCAGGAAATGGCCATGTGACCTGAGATTGGCCAATCAGGTGTTTCTCCCTGGAATGTCAATCTTGAACAGAATGAGAGAGTCACTCCTGCTGCAGAACCTTAACTAGACCTCCATTCTTGCTAGAAGACCATTTCTGAGCCCCCATTTCCAGCTTAGGAGATTTCTAAAGTTGTCTTGACCCCTTCCTATTTCCAAACCTGGCCTGCCATCAACTCTATAAGATCACAACATCCTAAACTGGAGTAGATTTCTATTCCTTGTTACCAAACAGCCTTGGCAGAAACACCTGTGGACTACCCTTTCAAAGGCTCCTACTGATGTTCATCCAACCATCTAGAATCTAGTTGTGACCACAGGCCAACACTTCCAGTCATGACTAGAAGTTTGCCTAAGGCAGTAAATTTAAAATGGCATTCAGGGCAGCCTGGGTGGCTCAGCGGTTTAGCACCACCTTCAGTCCAGGGTGTGATCCTGGGGACCAGAGATCAAGTACCACATCGGGCTCCCTGCATGGAGTCTGCTTCTCTCTCTGCCTGTGTCTCTGCCTCTCTCTCTGTCTGTGTCTCTCATGAATAAATAAAATCTTTTAAAAAAATAATAAAATGGCATTCAAAGATAACACTTGGCTTTTTGGGATCCCTGGGTGGCGCAGCGGTTTGGCGCCTGCCTTTGGCCCAGGGCGCGATCCTGGAGACCCGGGATCGAATCCCACGTTGGGCTCCCGGTGCATGGAGCCTGCTTCTCCCTCTGCCTGTGTCTCTGCCTCTCTCTCTCTCTCTCTCTCTCTGTGACTATCATAAATAAATTTTTAAAAAAAATTTTTTAAATAAAATAAAATAAAAAACACTTGGCCTTTTAAGAAAAAAACCCTTCCAAATATTCATCGTGTCTTAGTAGACACTGGTTCTTAACTTCCTGCAGGAGAATCATGGGGGAAGAGACACATCCAAAGAGCTCCATTTTCCAAATGGGACTGAGAACTATACCCGGAGTTCCATCTTCAGTTCCTCCGAGAGCAAAAGAGAACATTGACAAGGCTCACTAATTCACTTTTTCCCTTCTATTTGCAGACTACTACCTCCATCAGTAGACAGCATGGGCAGGAGTCACAGCTGAGTGAGGACTGTCCCCGCCAGATATCGGTCCCTGTGGAGTGAAATTAACACCTACATGTCTGGCACTTTCACACACAGTATCTGATTTAATTCTCCCAACTGGCAAGGTAGATCTCATTCTGATCACCTATGCAGATGTGTGGGTTTTCCCCACACCACCAAGCAATTTTCTCTGACACCAACTGGGTGTCCTGGGTGTCTTACAACTCAACTCAATTCTGACACTACCTACCTGGAGACAGCATTAGACCCCACAGGTTAAGATCTCAGTTCTACATGACTACACACATCCCACACCGCTTCAGATGCTGGTGGCAAGCTCAGGTTATCACCTGTACTTCTGATTGACTGGCTACATATCTCAAAGATTCCTACAACCTCCTCTGTGGGTTAATTTGCCAGAGTGGCTCACAGAACTCAAGGAAGTATTTTACATACTAGATTATAGGTTTCTTATAAAAGGATGTAACTCAGGAACAGCCAGATGGAAGAAATGCACAGGGCTAGATAAGGTAAAAGAACATGGAGCTTCCATGCCCTTCCCAGGAACACCTCTCTCCCCGTGCCTCCACAGGTACACCAACCTGGAAGCTTTCAGAACCCCATCGTTTTAGGTTTTTACGGAGGCCTCATTACATAGGCAGAATTGATTAAATCATTGGCCTTTAGCAATTGAACTACATCTCCATCCCTCTCCTTGGAGTGGGGGGTACTGGGAAGGAAAGTTCCAACCCTCTAATCACAGGGCTGGTTCTCCTGGTAACCGGCCCCCAACCTTTGGGACTTTCTAAAAGTCACTGCATTAGCATAACAGAATACACCTTTATGGCTTTATGACTTTGGGAATTTCAGGGGCTTTAGAGCTCAGTGCCAAGAATGACAAGGAACAAATATAAATATTTGCTGATCCATGGTACAGAGCAAGGAAAACAGTCCCAGAGGACTTGGGGGTAGGAGAAGAATTGGTGTCAGGGGTCTTAAGATTTCCCTGAAAATTATTAAAAGACTTTAAAAACTAGAAAAGAAAAACAGAAAAGGCCAGACCACTGTAGCTGGAGCAAAGAGAGAGAGAGGCTGTTAGGGATGTGAGTCTTTTTCCACAGAGCAAAGGGAAGAAAGGGAAGGCTCCCCGTGGGAGAGAGACAGGAAGGCATCCACATTCTGCAGAAGTCTCTGTGTGCAGAGGAAGCAGGACCAGAAGGAAAACAGTCTATGGCAGCTGTCCTGAGAGAGATGTGGTGACTGGGACAAGGTGATAGCAGAAGAGCTGGAGAGAAGAGAATACATTTGAGATCACTTCTGGTGCGGGGCCATTTGTCAGGGGTGGAGGAGACCCACTATGTGTTCAGACCCCACAACAAAACATTCACAGACATTCCCTCTTGAGGTTAAGCTTTCTCAAGGAATAAGGACAATGATGTGGCCTTTGCTATATATATGAAGGTGGTGCCACATTTACCCAAACATATTTCAAAGATAAGACCAAGACTCTGTTACTGAGAAGGAACCCTCAAAGTTAGGGAAAAGCTATGTTTCTTAAACCTAGCTTTAAAACCAACAAAATCACTAAATGTAGTATAACATGGGAAGAATAGACATTGAAGCCCTAGAAACTAGGGTCCCACTTGCAAGTCTAACTTTCTCACATGTCTAACCTACGCTGAGTTATCCAACTTCTCTGAGTCTGTTTTCTCATCTGTAAAGAAGGAATAACACCACCACTTCTCTCGGAGCTATCCTGAAGTGTCAACGTGAATAATGAGGGACAGAAGCCTTAAGAAGCAGTAACTATGATTATTAATATGAAGCAGCACACTCCTTTTAGCCATAAACTACATTTCTCATTGAAGGAATTACCCTTTTAACTTCTACTATAAAACATAATATTACACCTAATAAAAATCTTAGTAGTAAATTCTATTATATAAGAACACATTAATCTAACATTTAGAGATGGATTCCCTCTCTCAGGAAAAGAACCAGACAATTATGAAAAAAAAAAAGTGAGGAAGAAGTACTGAATCCACATACTCAAACACATGCACACACACACACACCTGCACATGCTCATGTGCACCCACGCAGGAAGTCAGAAGGGGATGGAGAACTGCATTATTGATTAGTAAGCCTCTCAGATGATTCTGATGCAGGTGGACCTTGCACCCCAAATCAGGACCCCTGTGCTGACCAGGGCCAGGTCCCATAGTAGAGCCTCATGAAAAACTAATGCAGTAAATCAGTCTAATGATCTGATGCCACAAGCATATGTTCAGAAGCAAATGTGACAGGAAGGAAATGTTTGTGCAAAACCCTAAGAAATACAAACTAGAGGAGTGACCCCGCTGCCCTCAAGGCTCACAACCCTCATGGTGACACAGATATTTAAACACCTGACTATAGCACAGTGCAATGCACATGCTCACCCAGACACCTTCTCCATGCTTTCAGACACGGGGGTACATCAGTGAATAAGACAGCAAACACCCCTGCCTGCACAACACTGACATTATGACACATGGAGACAGAAATCAACAAAATAAAAAAGCTTAACGTATAGTCTGTTAGTTGGTGCTAAATGTTAGGGAGAAAAACCAGGTAAAAAAGAGACAGAATAAGGGAAGAGTAATGTTTTAAATCTGCACCAGTTTCAAACAGTCCCTGAAGCTCTATTAAAACGTAGCACTACATGCTTTGCTGGTAGCTGATAAAGAATCGCAGACATGGGGATCCCTGGGTGGCGCAGCGGTTTGGCGCCTGCCTTTGGCCCAGGGCACGATCCTGGAGACCCAGGATCGAATCCCACGTCGGGCTCCCGGTACATGGAGCCTGCTTCTCCCTCTGCCTGTCTCTGCCTCTCTCTCTCTCTCTCTCTCTCTCTCTCTGTGTGTGTGTGTGTGACTATCATAAATAAATAAAAATTTAAAAAAAAACTTCTTAAAAAAAAAAAAGAATCGCAGACATGGGTCTGAAAGGACAGACAAGGGCTGGCTCCACTGGGAGGGGTGGGGTGAGAGGGTGGGGGCCGCAGCCAGTCTCCAGAATGAGATGAATGCTGAGCAAGTGAGTTCCCTTCCCTTCCTTTGCTGGAACGTTCCTCCTGCCACCATGAATCAGCCCTGAATGACTCCACAAAGTAAATGCCTGTGTGTCTCTTACCTTTGCCAAAACATTTTCATCTCCTCCCAGTCAATGTGAGAAGCTTATGCAATTACATCAGCCCTTCCTGGGTCATGGAGGTCAATGGCAATTTTTAGACTTTTTTTTAATTATAAAAGAAACACACAATCACAGTATAAAATATGAAAAATATCAGAAAGCGTAAGGATTCCCAATATTCTCAACCCCAGGATTACATCTGTTCACATTCTGGTACATTTTCCACCAGAGTGGTGGTTTAACATAGCTAGCATCATTCTGCATACACATACTTTTGTATCTTGCTCTTTTTATTTTAGCTAAAAATGTAATTTATAAATTACTACATGCGCATTTCTCTGCTTAAAACAAATGCTGTATGGACATCAATTTTAATGGCTACATAACATTCCATTCTACTAAGGCACTGAACTTTTTTAAGCATCTCCCACCTGTTGAGCATTTCAATTTCTGAGTTGCCATCATTATCAATTACCCTGAAAATAACTTTATGCAGAAAGGTATTTCAGGTAATTCCTTCAGAATGGACTACTAGAAGGAGGGAGTATTACAGGAAGCTGCAAATACTCTAAACATGTAGACACTGCATAGGTGGTCTACAATCACCCAAACTGAATCACCGCACCACTTGGCTGCAGAGACGGAATGCAGAAGCTAGTCATCTCTGGCCACCTTTTCCACCTTGACAGTAAATGGTTTTAGAAGCAATGTCTTTACCTGCTGTCAGAATCTGAGGCGATCTCCTTTCTCCCTCCAAAGCGGATCTGGCACTGCATGGAAAAAGAAGCCACTGAGATCAACAGGATGGGACACTCAAACATCACAAACAGCCCACACAGGATTTCAGGATCATGAGACACACAGGGCCAGGAACTCCAGGTGCCGAGTCAGGGTGTCCCCGTGCCATGGTGTCAAGCCAAGACATGAGATAGTAGACACCCTGGCCTTCCAGCCACCGCTTACAGGAAGCCCTTATCTCCCCCTTGTACAGTGGAGCTAGTGGGAAAACAACACCAAGAGGAAAACAAAAGCACACAGCCTTGTGTACATCGTCTAGGAAGCTGCTTCTGTATGTCAGCAGCTGATTGTCTGAACAAGAGCTCCACAAGGCACAATTAAAACTTCCACAAATCTGATGATGGGTGCCTCTGGAAAGGGCCCCAAAGTTGTTATGACTGGCGATAAAATTATGGCAGCATGACTCAAGCTTCAACCATGTCATCTGGTTGTGCCAAATGACGTTTCATCCAGGGTGGATACAAATAAAAGCAAACCATCATTTTTTCTTTAATTGTGGAAAAAAAATAGAATATGTGAAGTTTACCATTTTCACCATTTTTAGTTATATGTCATTCAATTCAGAATACCGTGCTCCCATCAGCAGTAGCCACTACTCTCTTTTAAAGGTGTGGAATCTCCACTGTGGGTAGCAGGCTTGCAAGATTCCAGAGCGTATTCTCGAATGAATGAATGAATGAATGAATGAATGAATGAATGAATGATTATAAATGATATATTTGTCAAAACTCATAGAACTGCACACTTAAAATTAATGTATTTTATTGCATGCCTCCATTATACCTCAATAAAATTGACCTTAAAAAGGTCTATGTACAACGCTTTCATCCCCCCAAGTCATAACAACAACAACAATAGTAATAGCAGCTCTGGGCATAGGCTCCAATTTATTTCTGTTCAACAGCTATACTGAAAGTGGCTCCACATCTACTTTATGTTCCCATTGTATTTCCCCACTTCCAGGACAAAGAAACAAATAACGTGGGCTCTGTATTTACTGCTGAGCCCTTTACCTACTTTAACAAACGCAACCCTCTCAACAGCCCTCTAGAGGCAGTGACCCGATGACAGAGAAGAGGGAGGCTCAGAGAGGCTAGGTGGAGTTGCCTCAACACACACAGCCTTGAAGAGATGAAGCTGGTATTGGACTCCAGCTTTGCCTGAGTCTGTGTCTTCTCCATCACATACCCTACCAGGATGCCTAGAGGCTTGGGAGATACCAAGTTCTCTGGGTTCGCTTTAACACTTGACACATATCCCTATGAAAGTATTTATCTCCCCATATTGGGACTGCATGCATATGATTGACAGTTACACCTTCCAAAATGTGAGCTACCTAGAATTCCCAGCATTGGGTCCTAGCTTTGCTACTCATGACCTATAGCTCCTTAAGTGAATTACTGGACCTTTCTGAGCTTCTGTTTCTTTGTCAATAAAATGGAAACCATCACAGGAACCTTCTCATTGGGGGGTCAGAAGGATAAAATGAGAAGCTTCACAGGGAGCTGGGCTCGTGGCTGACACATGCATACTACACGATGCACATCTGGTAGGCACAGGCAAGCACACCCAAGCCGGGCTCATGCCAAAGCCTGCATTCACACCTGCTAAAAACTGGATATCAAGAACAGCATGAAGCAACCAGAGCAGAGCCCACCTGGAGGACCCACGCGGCCCTGGGCATGGCTTCATTCGTCCCGTCTCTGTTCTCGTGCCCACAGGGTGCCAACTCCAGCCACCACCTCAGCACCCGGAAGACTTGCCCTAAAACACAACTGCTTGGAAGTGAGACTTTGAAACCAACAGCAATGCCTTTCTCAAAGGGACATCATGAAGGATGGGGCCCTCCAAAGGCATTAGAAAGTCACTACTTCCAACTGCCCTCCCTGCTCTGTCACTCTCTGGGGAACACCGTGAGCCTCACTGCTCCCAGATGGAAAGAGGGAGTAAGTCATGCACATGAAAGGGCAGAGATGACTTGGACATGGATGGCCTGACACTGTTTCCTGACCTCAAAGTCAAATGAGAGCTTTCTTCTTACCTGTTTCACTGCATCCAGCAGACGCTCCAGCAGAAACTGTCTTTTCAGGTCATTGTTCTGTGGTCCTAAAATGCAATGAGGCTTCATTAGTTCTCTGTGGCAAGAGCCCTCTACCAAGACTCTGCCACATAGTATGTGGCTGTCCCCAACTGGCATCAGCCTCCTCTGTAATGAAATCAACAAGAACAGACACCAGTAATCTACATCATTACAGTGAAATTTGGCCAGTTGCCTGTTGCTACATCACAGGAAAGCAGCTAAATTCATGTTCCCCACACCTGAAGAATGTGTCTGGAATGGTCTAATTCAGGTTTCTCAATCTTGGCGCTATTGACATTTGGGCCAGATAATTCTCTGTGGTGGGGCTGCCCTGTGAACTGCAGGATGTCTAGTTGCATCCCTGGGCTCTACGCACCAGATACCATTAGCACATACACACACCCAAGATGTGGCAACAAAAAATGTCTCCAGATACTACCAAATGTCCTATGGGGGACAAAACACCCCCCGGTTGAGAACCAACAGTCTAACTTACAATACAGGTTCCCCTAGTATGGCAGGCAATACCCATTGGCTGACCTTACCATCAGCTCCAACATCTTTTCCCCATGCCACCTCCTGTACTACAAGCTGAAAAGTTTAATTACTCCTTTTCTCAGCCTCTTTTGGAAGGGTGACCTTAAGAAGTTCTAGCTAACAAGATGTAAGCAGAAGGACACTGGGAGGGCTCTGGGGAAACCATGCCTTCCTGATAAAAGAATACATGTTAATGGTTTCATTCTTTCTTCCATCCTTCACACCTTCATCATAAACACACTGGGGTTAGCCAGAGTAGCACCATGCAGCCACAAGCCACAAGCCAGGAGGGAAGGCCAAGAGACTCACAGAGACACCAGCCCTGATGTCATTTCACTGCTGAACCAATACTAGAAATCTCCCACCTCTCATACAGCAAATAACCCCATTTGCTTCAACCACTATACACCAGGCTGTTACTTGCAACCAAAAGCATTCCTAACTGATACACATGGTATATGCTTAACTTCCATTTAAAAATGTCCGAGGGAGGGGATCCCTGGGTGGCTCAGCAGTTTAGCACCTGTCTCTGGCCCAGGGCATGATCCTGGAGTCCCAGGATCATGTCCTGCATCAGGCTCCCAGCATGGAGCGTGCTTCTCTCTCTGCCTGTGTCTCTGCCTCTCTCTGTGTCTTTCATGAGTAAATAAATAAATAATCTTTTTTAAAAATGTCTGAGGGGGATGCCTGGGTGGCTCAGTGGTTGAGCATCTGCCTTTGGCTCAGGGTGTGATCCTGGGGCCTAGGATCGAGTCCCACATTAGGCTCCCTGCATGGACCCTGCTTCTCCCTCTGCCTGTGTCTCTGCCTCTTTCTCTGTGTCTCTCATGAATTAATAAATAAATAAAATCTTTAAAATAAATAAATAAATAAATAGAATAGATAGATAGATAGATAGATAGATAGATAAATAAATAAATAAAATGAAAATGTCTGAGGCAGGGACACTTCAAAGCACCAAGCAGACTGCTAGAGAGCTACATCTGATCCCCCAGAGGAGACCTGGGGATTCCAATCAACAGAGACACAGCTATGTATTATGATGCTCCAGACAGAGAACATAGTTATTTCAAGGGAGAATCAAATTAAAAAAAAAAAAAGAATCAAATTCAGAGGTACAAGAACAGATGCCCCCACACCACAGGCCTTAAAGTGCCACCAAGCTGCTTTTCTCTTGGGCAATTTACCATGGGCTTTGCCAGGGAGTCCCAGCAGGGCATCACATCAGAGATGGTCAGTGATTCATCCAAATTATGTCAGGGCCACTCAGTTGATAACAACTGTGACCACGTGTTGAGCACTTCCTGCACACCAGACACAAAATAGTACTCTGCATGTGTTACATCCTGTAATTCCTACAACCACACTGTAAGTATTAGGATCTTCAACTGCAGATGGGGAAAATGAAGTCCACAGAGCACAGCAAGCATGTGCACTGACCCACTCGGTACTTATTTAACTTCAACTGTGTCCTAGGCAATGTGCTAAGTGCTCAGGACACAGGAGTGAAGTCATATAGAAGAAACATTCTCTCATGGAGAACAGATCCTCTTAGGGAAGAAAGAAATTGCACTTAAGTAAACCTAAACTGAGATGATGTCAGAGTCATACTGAGAAGAAAAACCAAATGGGGTGATGAGACAGGGAGGAAGCAAGAGGGTCCTGTTCACCACAGCAGTGATGGAAGGCCTCTCTGCAGGTGACATGTGGGCTGGGCCCTTTATAAAGAGAAGGAGGAACCCCGGAAAGACATGGGATCCCAGCGTTCCAGGCAGGGTATGTTGCCAGGGTGGATGCCCAGAGGCAGGAACAAGCTTGGCTTCTAGTCTTCCAGGACCAGAAGGAAGAAGTCTGCTACAACTTGAGCAAAGAGCAAAAAAGAGGAAGGAAAGATCAGACAGGCAGGCAGAGGCCAGTCACAAAGGGCCTTGTGAACCAAAACAACAGGTTTTGTTCTAATTTGAATACTAATTGGTAGAATCGTGATCCTTACTCAAGATCATGTCCCTCAAAAGTCTGTGTTGGGGTCACCACACAAGGCTCCTGCTTCACCCCAGGCCCACAGAAAAAAAAAAAAAAACACAGAATAGACACTCCACGGACACACGGTGATAAGCGTCTTCCTAAATGGTGTCACGGTTATTTTTCTCTGGAGGGGTTTTGAGTAAGGATGTACTACACATCATTCCCAACACACAAGTATGCCAAAGTGTCATTCAGGATGGTTGAAAACACCGCCCCCCCTGCACCCAAAGCCCCCAAACATCTCTCTTGATACTTATGTCTAGCTGTCAATCCTACTTTTTTGTTTAGCAGAAGGTATGGCTTCTGCTCTTCTCTAACACCGGGATGGACAAGTCAGGCTTTCTCTCTTCCTTCTTCCAAGTCCTGCATCCAACAACCCTACCTGCCCTTGGGCAATGCTAGCTGGAAACCTGACAAAGTTTTCCACTCTGAAATGCCTTTGTTATCTTTTTTATCATGAAAGTAATTTATGTGATCAAATGACCATATGACCCAGCAATTCCACATCTGGGTAGACACCTAAAAGAATTTAAAGCAGGATCTTGAAGAGACATTTACACCCATGTTCGCAGCAGCAGCATCAGTGGTAGCTAAGATGTGAAAGCAACCCAAGTGTAATGGACAGACAGCTAAGCAAAACGGGGTCTAGCCACACAATGCACTATTATTCAGCCTTAAAAAGGAAGGAAATTCTGAACTATGCTACATGGAATGAAACTTAAGGACATTAGGCTAACTGAAATAAGCCAGTCCCCCAAAAGATAAATACTGCATGATTCTACTTATAAGAAGTAATCAAAATTACAAAAAGGGAAAGTATGGTGGTGGTTTCCAGGAACTGGGGAGAGAGGAAGATGGGGAATTAGTGTTAATGGGGACAGAATTTCAGTTTTACAAAATGGAAAGAGTCAAGGGGATGGATGGTGCTGAGGACTGCACAAAAGTGTGAATATATTTAATACCACTGCACTGGTACACCTAAAAGTGGTTAAGATGGTGAATTTTCTTACCTGTATTTTACCATGATACAAAAATTCATGTAAAAAAATAATTATAAATCAGGAAAACCTGCACAAAGAAAATAAAAATCTCCATCATCTCATTACTGATCATTTTTAGTGCAGTGATTCTCAAGCTTCCATGTTCACACAAAATCTCCCGGGCTCTTGTTACAGACAGTTTCTGATTCAGCAGGTCTGGGTGGGGCCTGAGATTCAGTGTTTCTCACTAGCTCCCGGATGCTGCTGATGCTGCTGGTTCAGGGAGGATGTTGCACCCTACCCTTCCTGATATGCATGATGATCCTGGATCTTTCCTATATTATCTTGACCCACTGCTCAGAGAAGGTACTGGCAGCCTCCTCTGCTTTACCTCGCAAAGCCTCTCTTTGTGGTGGGAAGAAAAGCCCATTCATGACAGAGAAACAATCTGAGGTTGCACAGGCCTCACGCGGGCCTCAGCCCTCCACTCACCCTCCCTGGCTGCAATTGCTCTGCAGGCGAGAAGGACACTTGAGTGAGACCATCCTGGCCCTAACTGGGGATTCAGAGAAGCGGGGTGGGGGGAAGCAGGGGTGGAGGGAGTACAGGCAGCCTTGGGAGCACGTATGCACTGCAGGAGGTGCCCAGGAGGCCATGGCCATAAAGAGCAGTGGAAGGGGGACCAGTTGGAAGTCACAAGACATCATGAGTTCTCATCCCGGCAGAACTGCTTGCTGGCCATGTGACAGGGACAGTCACTTCCCTTCTCTAGGCACCAGTTTCTGCATGAGATGGTGCTGTCCTAGCTCTGCAGTCTGGAACATGGGGCCCCCATGAAGACAGGCAAACAGAGCAATCTATGCTACCAGTGTCTTTCCTGCCTTCTTCCAGTGACCAAGAGGAGAATAAGCACCCCTGCCCTGGTCAAGAAGATTCTCTGTCCCCTCTGTCTCAAATGCTGTAACCACCAGAGGGGAGCAGGGAGGCAATGCCCACCTACTGGTCTTCAACTGTGGGGAAAGCCATTAAGTGACTGACAATCCTTAGCGTCATGGGAAAGGTAGCTCCATTCACCAGAGCACCGAGGCTCAGTGTGGAGCACGCAAGGCTACTCCCGCGGAAAGTACTCAAGGAAGGATTCCATTTCAAGTCCACTAGCTCCAGCGCTGGCCGTCTGCTAAATCTTGCTGGCTCTCCAGCTTTGCAACAAATCTGCAATCACAGCCCCACTGATTTTTCTGTGATTTTCTGTGAAGGAAGCCCCAGTCTTCCTGCTCTCTTCCTTTTCCAAGGGCAGCCCTGAGTCCACACTACTAACCAGATGAGCCTGAACAGGCTTCTTTTGCATTCCTTGTTAGGGCACCATCAAAATGAAGATAGAAAATAGAAAGCTAAAAAAAAATAAGAAAATATAAAGCTACCCCAGGGAGTACCCCCAGAGGGCTACAAACCCATCAAAGAAATGCAGTGATCCCCTGCGGCTC